GAAGTGATTAGTTTTTGGAGGGTCAAGGTCACGAAAATACAAAAAAATATGCCTATCTGTTAACATGGGGACCGATTTTTCACACTATTTTTGCTCTATATCTCAATCAAAAATGATCGGATTTTGATGAAACTTGGTGAAAATATGTAGAATATTATTCTTCATTGTCCTGCTAAAAATGGTCTGCTCTACTGATTGCCCCTCTAGTTCGTTACGAGTTTGAAATAAGGACACGTTGTAGGTATTATATTGCATTCACATTGTAATAGTTTTGTCGGCTCGAAACTCGGGCTTGTTCGAGTGAAACAAATCACCAAACAGCAACTACTTTTCTTGCTAAAGGCTTAATCTGAATTTATTTCCCTACGGAGACCTCATCATGTAGAATGTACTGTGATTGAAAGTTGCTCATCATTCAGTTGGCTCGTGGGGAATGTAGCTGATCATGTAGAATGTACTGTGATTGAAAGTTGCTCATCATTCAGTTGGCTCGTGGGGAATGTAGCTCATCATGTAGAATGTACTGTAATTGAAAGTTGCTTATCATTCAATTGGCTTGTGGGGAATGTAGCTCATCATGTAGAATGTACTGTGATTGAAAGTTACTCATCATTCAGTTGGCTCGTTGAGAATGTAGCTGATCATGTAGAATGTACTGTGATTGAAAGTTGCTCATCATTCAGTTGGCTCGTTGAGAATGTCATGAATCTGAGTCGATACTTATCGACGTGTTGCTTACTTCGCACAAGAAAATGTATTATTATAGCTGTGTTATGCTTTGGAAAACGTTATATTAGTTTATGTATTCTTAAGCTTAATACGTATAAGTTTTACTGTGCAATAACTTAGAAACATTATAATAACTTTCAATACTAAATTATATCTAATCATATAGTAAACAGTGTATTGATACAAATCTTTTGTTGTCAAGCTGGGAAGAAATATTTTTTACTTCGGATAATTTCTAAACAAAATACCATCACCATGATTGCCTGTTTCAGTTAATAAAAATGTTATTGTGAATAGAATTTCAGAATAACGTTTGAAACCGAGGCATTGACGACAAAGTAGGATAATTTCAAAAAGAGACCGAATGTGGCCTGGTGGCTAACGTGTCGGGCTGCGGGTCGTAGGGTCCAGGGTTAAAAATCTGATGCCACACAACAAGCTGCTCGCTTTTAGCTGTGAGCGCTTTCTAAATCTGACAGTAAGTCCCGTTATTCGATTCTAAAGGCCGAACAAAGCTCTTGTGATAGCGGGTGCTACTTACCGACTGCCATTCCACTGGTCAATAATTAAAAATCACAAACTACTGTATCTGAACCATAGGGTTATCTGACTTAGCTGTTTAACTTAAATTAGTATAAGGTGCCTTTAGATTGAATAAATCCAGATTTTTAATATCAAATAGGCTTTTGGAATCAATGGTCGATGTGGTGATGTATTTTCATTTCAACGATTTTTATGATTCTATTTATCAAAATTATAAGCTCGCTTGTTAAACATTCTTCAGGAAATGATGCGTTAGAGCGTTGAACCATGTTGAGTGTAATGGTAACTGTAGCTCAGTCCCCCTGGCCCGCCGTGGCCAGGTGGTTAGGGCACTTGACTCGTAATCTGAGAGTCGCGGGTCCGAATCCCCGTCCCACCAAACATGTTCGCCCTTTCAGCCGTGGGGGCGTTATAATGTGACGGTCAATCCCACTATTCGTTGGTTAAAGAGTAGCCCAAGAGTTGGCGGTGGGTGGTGATGACTAGCTGCCTTCCCTCTAGTCTTACACTGCTAAATTAGGGACGGCTAGCGCAGATAGCCTTCGTGTAGCTTTGCGCGAAATTCATAACAAACAAACAAACAAGCTCAGTCCCAAATAAAAATATTTATTTGTAAACAAAAAGTTTGTTTGTAATTAAGCACAAAGCTACACAATGGGCTATCTGTACTCTGCCCCCATAGGTATCGAAACCCGGATTCTAGCGTTGTAAGTCCGCAGACATAAACAAAAAGAAGTTGCTATTTATAACTGTAGTAGTTAGTTATTTAGCCCCTAAGTGGCTGAGCAGTAAATCTGAAGGCTTATAATTCTAAAACCCAGGCTTAGATACTTATGGTGGGCACAGTACAGGTAGCCCATTGTACGGACTTATGCTTAACAACAAACTGACCAATCAATTTATTTATTTATAAGCTTGCATTTCCAAATCTCTCGCCTTCGGTTTTTTAGCTTAACCTGCATCAAAATACAATAACATTCTCTAAGTCACAATACCCACTAGGTACCTATAAATCTATTTTATAATTGATGTTATTTCCCCAATGTTCTAGTTTATTCTCAATCCGTCTGTAGTGACAGAATGTTTATATACACACCATCATTACACTTACATGCGGGTTAAACTTGTCTGACGATTATTTGTCTGAGCTGTAACTTATCTGCGTTGAATAACATCAGTATGTTTACCTTTACTGTTCCAAATGGAATCTAATTATGTTTTATGTACATGTTTAATCAAGCAAGTTTAGACGAAACACAATCCTGTATCTCCTCTCTCTCTCGATTCGCTAGTTCTGTTCAATGCAAACAACTAGCACAAACCGATTGAATAACTATTTAGCCACACATTCTGTACTTGAATGTGTGGTAGTTTAAACTTGTCACAGGTGTCTCGTTCTCCGGAAACGCTATTGAAGATAATATAAGTATTCTGGTGAAGAACAAACAGGGAAATATTGCAAGCAATTTTTTTTTTTATGAAACTAACTAATCCTATAAGTTGAGAATATTTCAATCATTGAAACTTTATTTCAGAATGTTTAATGAGTGAGGTTTAATACAATTAAACGAGTGCTGGCTTATAACAAGAACACATTAAGCCTGAGAGATGATCAGTCTGAAAGTATACACATTTGTTTTTCTGCACATTTGCGAAACTAATATTTAAAACGTCACAAGTGACAAGGTTCATAATTAATTCTTGAAAGTTTCAAAACTTAAATAATACCATACAGTAAATGCAGCTAGTCAACGGCACTAACAAGACACTTTTTAACTACCTTAACCGAATAGGAGGATTTAAACGTTACTCTTATAACGCATCTATGTTCCCTTGTGAGAACTGCGATCTTGTGGTATCGAGACGCAAACCATGGACCTTCGGATTTTAAGTCCGGCGGAAATTCAAGCTATAACATAGTGAAAAGGATACACAGAAACCTGGTTAAAATTTACAATTAGACTTTGATTTTAAATCACAAAGTTTTGTTCATTATCGCGCTGTCGACGATTTTTAAATGAAATAGGTGCGAGTAAGTACTCGTAGGAGAGTATAATGGTATTTATATCGTCTGGTCGTAGGAGAGTACAATGGTATTTATATCGTCTGCTCGTAGGAGAGTATAATGGTATTTATATCGTCTGCTCGTAGGAGAATATAATGGTATTTATATCGTCTGCTCGTAGGAGAGTATAATGGTATTTATATCGTCTGCTCGTAGGAGAATATAATGGTATTTATATCGTCTGGTTGCATAAGTAAGTAAAACAAGAATAAATACTTTCAGTATATGAAATCATAAACTGCTTAAAACGTAAAAGAAACCAGAATTGGAGGAAATACTAGCGTTTACTGCTATTATAATTAAACATTTAAAAAATGTTGATTTGTAAAATTGTCCACAGAATTATAGGGATTAATTTTTACTTAAAATAGTATCTTATGACCTAGTCTACGTTCTAAACGGTAAACACACACACACATATATATATAAATCAAATTAGCTTTTTCAGCTTCTTTTGGGGGAACAATAGATTCGTATTTTATGTTATAAAAAAGAAGTGAAACTCAAACTAACACCAATACTTGCTATACAGACTGTTAAGGATTGTTGAAATTACTAATCATTGTAACTTTGAAGTCAACATCATATTTATTAGTTTTATAGAATCATCTATAATGTTTGCAGGTCTATATACTTAGTATACGCCAACATGAAGCACAAGTAAACAATGTTTTGGCTAGACTGCAGGTCTATATACTTAGTATATGCCAACACGAAGCACAAGTGAACAATGTTTTGGCTAGACTGCAGGTCTATATACTTAGTATACGCCAACACGAAGCACAAGTGAACAATGTTTTGGCTAGACTGCAGGTCTATATACTTAGTATACGTCAACACGAAGCACAAGTGAACAATGTTTTGGCTAGACTTGCTCATTTTAGTTTGAGAACTTAGAATAAATGTTTTGGTTGAATTTTTTTTTATTTTCAACTAAGCACGTTAGCTGCAAAGCACCAAAACCTAATAATATTAATGTTATGAGAGATATATACTAAAAGGTTGTTAGTATATTTCGAGTACGACTTTTCTTTGCCAAAATACATTTAAACCGTATAATAGAAAATCGTATAACATGTCGCGTTTGGTTTAGTGCTTTGCTGGGAAGCCGAACATGGAGAAAAATTAAAGTTTGAAATTAATCTACAGGCAGCCTATAGGTTTATTGTTTGTTTGTTTTGAATTTCGCGCAAAGCTACACGAGGGCTATCGTCGCTAGCCGTCCCTAATTTAGCAGTGTAAGACTAGAGGGAAGGCAGCTAGTCATCACCACCTACCGCCAACTCTTGGGCTACTCTTTTACCAACGAATAGTGGGATTGACCGTCACATTATAACGCCCCCACGGCTGAAAGGGCGAGCATGTTTTGGTGGGATGGGGATGCGAACCCGCGAACCGCAGATTGCGAATCGAGCGTCCTAACCACCTGGCCATGATAGGTTTATTATACGGGTTATAAGTTACCTACGCTAATCCTTATCTGATTCTTATATGCTTATTTAGTTCATTATACGGGTTATAAGTTAACTACGCTAATTCTTATCTGATTCTTATATGCTTATTTAGTTCATTATACGGGTTATAAGTTAACTACGCTAATTCTTATCTGATTCTTATATGCTTATTTACATATGTACGAATAGAATATGAATAATTTACTCACAAGTCTCCTTCACAAGCTTAGGCAAATAATGCTGCCAGAAAGCGCAATACTGAGCTCGTGGGCCTCGACCAGTCTTTGTAGAGTTAACATCGAGAGTTAAGTACTCTCGACCGTAGGGGGTGTACACAGGCCAATAGATCTTTTCCCATTTTTCACCTGGACCTTGACTTGGCTTTCTGTAGTGAAAATACAAGATATAAGTGAAAAATCTACATAGCAGTAAATAACTAAAAAAATATTTTTAAATTTTTGATTCTTATTTTAAAAAACATTATATGCTATTATGATGCCACAGCACGAACAGATGTTTGTACTGTTCGAAGTATTTGTGAATAATCTTATTCTTCCAGCAATAAGGAATTTTACTTTTGGAATTAAATTAACAGACTCGTTCTTATAAACTGAATGGGCGAAAAACTGTAACTGTTGACAATATTTAAACGCTTGAGTTAATGGTAAAAAAATCCATCTGTGTCCCCAACTCTGTAATTTATGTTTGTTTGTTTTGAATTTCGCGCAAAGCTACACGAGGGCTATCTGCGCTAGTCGTCCCTAATTTAGCAGTGTAAGACTAGAGGGAATGCAGCTAGTCATCACCACCCGCCGCCAACTCTTGGGCTACTCTTTAACCACGAATAGTGGGATTGACTGTCACATTATAACGCCCCACGGCTGAAAGGGCGAACATGTTTGGTGGGACGGGGTTCGAGCCCGCGACCCTCAGATTGCGAGTCGAACTCCCTAACCACCTGCCCATGCCAGGCCCTGTAATTTATGGAATTAGAATTATCAACATGAACGCACGTGGCCTAAGCGACACGGTCAAAACACTAATAAGATTGAAAAATATTTTTTCAAATATTTTTGGAAAACATATTGGAAACTAGTTAAGATGAAAATATTAATGTTTTTTGGAGGGACTGTTATAGTATTTTTCCTAGATAAAACCATCTGTCAAATAACGGTTTAGTTATCACGGAAATAGGAGCTTTTTGGCCAGACCGTTACAGTACTTTCTTATATAGAACTATTTGTCAAATAACGGTTTATTAATCACAGAAATATTAGATTTTTGGACAGACCATTAGAGTACTTTCTTATATAGAACTATTTGTCAAATAACGGTTTATTAATCACAGAAATATTAGATTTTTGGACAGACCATTAGAGTACTTTCTTATATAGAACTATTTGTCAAATAACGGTTTATTAATCACAGAAATATTAGCTCTTTAGACAGACCATTAGAGTACTTTCTTAGATAAATCCATCTGCCAAATAACGGCTTATTAATCACGGAAATAGTATTGGTGTTTTCGAGCTGAACGCACTTTATTCGCACATGGGCTAAACGGACAGGTCAGAAGCCCCTCGGGTTCACGTGTAGTCGTGTTTTGTTTTGAACTATTGACGAAAGGAAAACCAGCCAGTTTTATTGCACGGCTTAGAATGCGAAGCGTGTTAAGCAGCATCATGTATCGAGCACCTGACAATATGAGCCGCAGCCCGACATGTTAACCGTTACGCCACAATAGGCCCCATTCATTATGACTTTAAATTTATTTGTTGATTATCAAGCACAAAGCTACACAATGAGCTACTTGTGCTATTTGAACCATGGAAATAGAAACCTGATGTTTAGCGTCATAGAACCAAAGGCTTGCCGCTGAAAAAACTGGGTGGAGCTTTTTAGAAAAATATATCAAGAACTTTCCACGCTAATTTTTCCAAGCCAGTTCCCTTGGCTGTGGTTTCGCTAGATAATAGAAAAATATATCACGAACTTTCCACGCTAATTTTTCCAAGCCAGTTCCCTTGGCTGTGGTTTCGCTAGATAATAGAAAAATATATCAAAAACTCTTGTAAACATATTTCGAATTTTAATTATTAGTTTACTCGAAAATCATAAGTCTATATCTTTAAGCGATAACAACTGCCGTTTTTATCATAAAACAGAATAATTAATTAGCTTGGAAACTATTGGTGCTTGATATACGGAATTATAAGAGAAAACTGTTCTATTTCTAGATTTTAAAACCTCTTTCTTTCGTGTAAATCGTTCGTGATGAAACAAACGGTTTCTCACAGAAGTAACATTCTTTTTTACACCAGTAAAATCGTTTTACTGTTTTCTTCTTTATGCTGGACAATATGTTTTATTATCTGACAAATCTGTTGGAAAAAGAATATAACTTTTTACACATAAGTGGTTATTTATCTTGTTTTAGCGCAAGGTCACAATTAGTTTACTGCGCTATGTTCTACTAGTGAATTTTTTACACATGTACACGTTTCAATGTAATTATTCAAGAAACACGTGTGAGCTAATTTGTCAAATGTTAGTGTTTCATCTGAAACGTAAAAATTATCATAAGGGAAACCAATTGTTTCCATGTGTGATTATGGAAATTAATTTATGTGCAAAGTGATTATAAAGAAAGTTTCGCAGTACAGCATACCGTATCCCACAAACGGTTAGGCATAGGATTGTTTTTTTTTGTTTGTTTTTTTGGAATTTCGCGCAAAGCTACATGAGGGCTATCTGCGCTAGCCGTCCCTAATTTAGCAGTGTAAGACTAGAGGGAAGGCAGCTAGTCATCACCACCCACCGCCAACTCTTGGGCTACTCTTTAACCAACGAATAGTGGGATTGACCGTCACATTATGACGCCCCCACGGCTGAAAGGGCGAGCATGTTTGGTGGGATGCGGATTCGAACCCGCGACCCTCAGAATGCGAGTCGAGCTCCTTATCCACCTGGCCTTGCCGGGCCCGTTTCATTATCTAATGAG